ATAAATAATGCATTTTTAAAAAATAACTTGTTAATACATAACAAAAAATCAGAAAATCATTTTTTTCCAAAAAGAGCACATAAAACTCTAAAAAGATTCAGTTCTAGAAGCAAATGTTGCTGTATTAAACCCACACTTTAAAGATAAGTCAAAAAAAGACTTAACAGAAAGTTGAAACAAACGCTTTTACAAATGTGAAATTCTCTGCCTGTTCTGTTATTAATCAAAATTAATAATTACATAATTGAATTATTTAATTAAAATGCATTTCTTTAATTAAAAGACACACTTTAAAACTTATAGACTGATTCCTGGATTAATTTATTTAATTATTCGACAAGCATTTAATAAGATAAACACCATGTACTGGGTTCTATGGGTCCAGTGGGGATGGGAATCCTCAGGTATCTGGGGACGCAAAAGTCATTCTTTGTTATGCTAGCAGTCAGGTGGGTCTTTCAATCAGATTGGAGTGCAGTGGCACGCTCTTGGCCTCAGCAGCCTCAACTTGCTGGGCTCCGGCGATCCTTCTGCCTCAGTCTTCCAAGTAGCCAGAACTACAGGCACGTGCTACCACGCCCAGCTAATTTTTATTTATTTATTTATTTATTTTTATTTTTTTGTTATTGGAGTCTCACTCTGTCGCCCAGACTGGAGTGCAGTGGCCGCCCCTGGCCACCGCAGCCTCCACCTGCTGCGCTCCGGCGATCCTTCCGCCTCAGCCTTCTGAGTAGCCGGAATTACAGGCACGTGCTACCATGCCCAGCTGAATTTTTATTTATTGTAGAGATGAGGTCTCACCAAATTGCCCAGGCGGGTCTCGAACCCGCAGGCTCAGGCAATCCACTCACCTCAGCCTCCCAAGGCGCGGGATTACAGGCTGAACCACTGAGCCCGGCTAATTTTTTATTTATTATATAGATGAGGTCTTGCCAAGTTGCCCGGATGGGTCTCAAACCCGCGGACTCAGGCAATCCACTCGCCTCAGCCTCACAAAGTGCTGGGATTACAGGCTGAGCCACAGAGCCCAGCCTAAGAAGAATCCAGTTTTAACGGATGGATTTCAGACACCTGTGTGCCCTGTCCCCAGGAGGAGGCAGCTCCTTATTCTAACTCGGCTCAAGACTGGCCTGGAGGATGGCAATTCAAGATGATGGAAATAGTGCTTTGGGGAATGGTGGGCAAGCCATGGTCTACCCGCCCCCACCATCAGTAAACCCTACCTGTGCCCAGGGTCCAAACCTGGGTCTGGAAGTGAGCTCACAGGAATGTGTATTTGCCCTCCAGGGAGTCTGCCACTTCCTTTGCCCCTTGGGTGATAGACATGTCATAGAAGAGAAGGGGCTTTAGTCCTAGATCCCTTGTCTGGCCTGTTCCTCCCCAGGCCTTCCCCCTCAGAGGGGAGGAAGCAGGTCAGTGATAGTGGAAAAGAGACCCATTCATGCCCCTGGACATGCTAAAAACGTTAAAGTATCTAGGGATCCCATGCTCTGCCCAGGTGCCTTTCAAGGATGGGCTAGGAGGGGTCTCCAGCTTGTCCCTTGAAGCTCAGCAGATAGTTGTAAGCGTTGACAGGGACAGGGGAAAGCAAGATGAGCCTGGGGCCAGCAGCAAACCACAGGGGATAGGGGGCCGGTCCAGGTTACAATGAGCTCAGTGGGAGAGAGAACTTGGGAGTCCTAAAGCCCCAGGAGCAAACGCTAACATATAAACATGCACGTGGGTACATTGGCTCAAGTCGCTGGCTCACATATCACATGTACTTTCACACACACACACACACACACACACACACACAAGCACACTTTCAAACATGCGCTCTGGGGAACTGGGATATAGACCCAGCTCTCAAGCAACCTAGCTGTGTGACCCTAGGCTAACTGCTTTGCCTTATCTGGCCTGTCCTTCATCTGTAAAGCAAAGAGATTGAATGAGACCGTCTCTAGTCTCAGCCAGTTTTTTTGGTTTTTGTTTTTGAGACAGGGTCTCACTCTGTCACCTAGACTGGAGTATAGTGGCACAGTCCTGGTTCACCTCAGCCTTGACCTCCTGCGTACAGGAGATCTTCCCACTTCAGCCTCCCCAGTACTTGGAATTACAGGCATGCGTCACCACACCCAGAAAATTTTTTTGACTTTTTTATAGAGATGAGGTCTTGTTATGTTGCCCAGGCTATTCTCGACCTCTGGGGCCCAAGCGATTCTACTGCCTCAGACTCCCAAAGTGCTGGACTACAGGCATGAGCCACTACACCCGACCTCAGCCAGTTTTTTTTTTGGGGGGGGG